CTGATGAACTTGCAAAGCTCGGCAACTAGAAACCGAAAAGCTACCGAACCTCCCTTGGCAGGTGTAGGGATCGCCGCACACGCACCGGTGTGGCTGTCCTTGGCAATTAAGCAAATGAGCTTTTCCCCGCGTTCACCATCAGGCCTCTCAGTGAAGCAGTAATCAAATGAACACGCTGCACTGTCTAGTCTCGGGCCTGGCTTTTGTGTGTTTGTCAGCACGGGCCTGAAACTTGATGCAGTGCTCGCACCACGGCTGGTAAGGGATGCGGTTCAGGCAGTGCAATCTGATTTGCTCGGGCGTCGGTGCTGCCACAGGAGCTTGCTGATGCGGCTGGCTTTGCAAGGCAATCGAATCATGCTGGACTTGGTGACGCTCCAGCAGCTTAGGCTTGTCAAGATGGCTGGCAATCCTCGACAACACTGTAGCTTTGCCGCCGCTCTGGCCTATGCCTAGGGCTTTGCACGCAGCACGCAACGTCTTAAGATTGCAACCTTCATGCAGCTCAACTTCATCAACAACGATGTGGCCTCTGGCGGGCTCTGACTCGTCTGTAGCTGCACCTGCGTCGGCACCGATGGGAGATTCCCCCGGGTCGACGTCTCCAATCCCTCCGGCCGGCGCATCTTCAAGCAACTCATCAAGGGAACCAGCAGGGATCTCGGGAAGCCCTGCATCAGACATGTTTGCATCCTCGGCCTCCAGCGGGCCTGCTGCAGGTTGATTGAACAGCACATCAACATCGATCTTGTCACAAGAAGCAATGGTAATCACATGCCGCGTTCGCTTCGGCTCAAACTCGGCTTCAGGCTGTTCAAGCACAGACAGATCCTGATTCAACTCGATGACATTCCAACCCGAACCGTCTTGCACAAGCGTTGTGCGATACTGCACTCCAAGGCTCAGGTGAGGCACTGACAATGCCACTGAACAATCAACGAAGCAATCGCTGAAGTCCCGCCGGGCATACACAAGAGGAGCAACTTCATGAAATTCCTCAGACAACTCAAGCCATGGGCCTGAAACCTCAAGTGCTCTGATGCTCGGCTGACCTTCGGCCTCGGAGGCTATGACTCCTCGGATGAAACCTCTTGCATGCAAGCTGTAGTTCTTGTAGAACAATGGGGCGCGAACTCTAGCATCAGGGCTCGTGAGATGCGGAACCCTGTTAGCATTGTGGATGATGTCCCAACCGTTTCGTTTCATAAGCTTGCCAACACAAAAGAGAGGCTGGGTAACACTTGAGAGCAACCAATGCTCACGGAACTTCACCCCAGCAATCTCAATCGTGGCCGTGCGCATCTCTCGGCCTGAAATGCGGTTGCCTTGGGCATCGCGGTACCACTGGGAGTCAGCACCGCCGGATTGCCCAATCGTTCCCCAACTCATCGGCAAGCAAGAAGCGTCAGACCCTGAGTCGACAACAACCTCTATGTCAACCGGCTCGGCGTGCGCTGTCGCGCCGCTTGCACGTTGCACTGCACGCAAACTTCGGGCTGCTGCCTCTGCACCCAAACTCTCAATTGCTTGCTCAAGGCTCGGGCACTCTCTCATCGTTGTGACCTCTGATTCTTCCGCCTCGCGCTGCAAATCAAGAGATTCGCTCTCACATATCGTCCATTCACCATCAACATCAGTGCTTGCAAGGTCGTGTTGCACAGGACTGGGTACCGGCTGCAAGTTAGGGAGCTCAGGGGAACCGTGCAGGTTAAGGGCTAGGACCTTAACAAGATTGCGAAATCCAAAAACACGGGGAACCCCTTGGGTGTCCCAAGCTCGACTCGCACACTCGGGACCTGCGCACTTCACTGTTGGAACACCTGCAGGCACGTCAAAGTACTGAATAGACAACTCTTCATCGGTCATGTCAATCTCAACAGATGACTCAAGCTGCACACGATTCACATTCTTGGCAGTGGCTGCGCTAGGACCTTGAACTTGCGAGGCAGACGGACCAATGGTGCTAGGCGCAACTGTGCTGCCTGCATCACTGCCTGCATTCTGCACTTGCTGGACACGGTACCAGCACTCATTCTGATAGTGACCCTTTCTGCCGCACGAGTGGCAAACAACATTTTGTCTGTTGCCTTTGCCTGTCTTGCCACCCTTGTCTTTGCCTTTGTCACCTTTGCCGCCTTTGCCTTTGGGCTGCTGATCACCCTTGCCATGCTTGCCTTTGTCACCTTTGCCGCGTTTCCCTTTGGGCTGCTGGAACCCTGGCTGCTGGTAGCCGCCTTTGCCATGCTTGCCTTTGTCACCTTTCTTGCCTTTCTTCTGAAGCGCATCTACTTCCATAGGCACTGGACCATCATTCGATGCACGGCTTTTGGAAAACAGACTGTCCCCTGCAAAAAGATTCTTAGAATCCCACTTGGTGTTCATACGCTCGAAATGCAAGGCTGTTTCCCTCAAGGTGTCATACGTCACATCTTCAGTCAACACTGTTGCAAGATGGTTCCTCATGTTGTTTGTCACTGATCTCAGGAAAATGCTTGACTTAAAATCATCGTCGAGCTTCTTCCCACTGCTGCGCTCGTACTCGTCAATGATCCTTTCCATATCAAGAACTTGTGGCAGCAGGGGCTCGCTTGCACGAAAATGACTCATGCTCGTCAATGCACTCAAGATTCCAAGGGATCGAGTCTTCGAAGCAGGCTGGTAAAGCTGCACAAGCTGACGCAATGCTTCGAAACCGTTCTGCACTGGAACCCTCTGGATCAGCTGAAGGCCTCGGCCCTTCACTAAGCTCGACAGCAGTGCAAACAGCTGCTTGGACCTCTGCTCGGCCTCAGAACTAGCATAAGCTTCACTTGTCAAGTCCTTGGTCGGACTGCGCTCTATGAAGCTTATCTCATCAGTGAAGGCTGGATCCAAAGCACTCAAGTACTGCTTCAAGCTCCACAGCCACGACGACCATTCGCCGTGTTCAGCTTCCCTCGACGCAGGCTTAAACACATCTGGCTTCGGCAACAAGCGGGCCATGTCACCTCCACCTAAACCTGCTTGGCGTTGCGTGCTGGCTGCCGCCAGCGCTGCTTGCGCTGCGGTACTCGCCGCAGTCGTCGCCTCCATCATCTGTCTCATCATCAACACCAGATCATCCTGACTGATCGTCATCATCGGCACAGCCTGTCCCCCGCCACGTGATGGGCTGAACGGGTTACTGGAAGGTTGCGGCCCTTGGGGCGCATGGGGGCTCTCAGCAAGTTCTGGATCATCCTCATCATCCAAACTTGTACTTGCCATTGTTCAGACAGAACTGCTCAATCAAGATCAATCGGTTCTTCTGCAGGCTGCAAGGCACACTGAAAAGAATCTTGCAGATCAATCGACGCACTCCCTGGTATCAAGGGTTGCTCAAACACTCCTAATGTCCGGTCCTGAAACGCAATGTCACGTTCGCACTCTTCCTCAGGAAAAACAATCGCTGCTTGCACGGCTTGCGGTGTAACACTGTTGAACACGTCCTCAAAACCAAAGTATCTGAAGGCTTCCTTTAAATGCTCCTTCTTCAAGCACTTTTCTCCGAAATGCCAAACAGATTCAATAGTGTCCAAACTTTCAAGGTGATTCTCAAAGCTTACCCTGTAGGTGCTAAGAATGTTATCCCAAGAAGTTCCTGAACGGCCGGCTGGCCTAGGACGTTCACACAGCTGCTCAACGTAATACGAATGCAGCCGCTCTTTGAGCAATGCAAGGCCTTCACAGGTGGCCGTTGCAGCACGATATGGCGACCGCTTGGCAGCGGTGTCTGCAGCTACCCGCCGCGCTTACTAGATTTCACCGAAAGGACCCTGAACACAGAAAGAGAATTCCAAGCCTGGGCTCCCTGAACGTAGGCCGCAAAGCAACCCACAAGGAAAACCCCAAGACGTGGATAAAGACAGGGAACCCCTTGGGTGTCCCTTTTCCGTGTCTCGAAGCTTGGGCTTTCCCAAGCTCCGCTACCATGAAAATCTTTTGTAACTCTGAAAGGACGCCTGCGGATCATAGACATGTCATTCGCATGCTCTGGTGAAAATGAGTGCATCACAGATAAAATCAGATAAAACAAGTGTCACAAAATACGGTATGCAACGTGGAGAAATCATAAACAAAAACTCTTTCCGATGTGCGAAACTCGCACCAGAATCCTGTTGTTGCGACCACAGCAAACCGAAATAGGAGCCCTGATGTGAGTTTAGTCACCAAATGCCTTAGAAGGATGCTGGGAGAAATCTCGTGACTTCTGCGAGGACGCCACTGTCCCAGTCACAAAACCCCACGTCTGTTGCGAGAATTTCGACGAGGAGCCACTTTTTCAACAAAACATTTTTGTTCTTGACTTTGTACATTGAAAAAGTGGCGTCTTCGTAGTAATTTGAACATGTCCACGTTTTGTCCTCGAGCGTCCTCGTAGCAGGCGTGGAGTGGGATTTCGTGACAGGAACCCAAGAATAAATGCGCGTCTTCATCAGACCATCGCAGATTGCAGAAACAGTTTTTTTGCGTGGTTGAGCCTTGATGACAGCGGCTGCTGCACTCGGTCCCTCTTCCGCTTTAAAAAAAAATTCTGTTTTCAATCGGGAAGAAACAACTCCACGAAGCCGTTGAAGACGGATGCTGGCGCTGGAAGTCCGACGGGCGGGAGGGAGTTGCTGCCCGTATACATGCGATGAGCGCCAAACGAGTCGCTTCCAAGCGCAAAAATGCAATGTTTCGACTATTGTAAGAAACTTCATGCGGTTTTACACTCAGAACGGCGCATGCCGCATGCCATGCACCGGACAAAGACTACAATCTCCAAATGCCAATTTTTTTGGCGTGGGCGGGCCTCAAAGACAGCAGTTGCTGCACTCGGTCCCAGTAAGAACTACTTATTCCTTATTTGCACACCGGAATCCAATATGTTTTCTATGGAATATATATCCATATAAATGTGCGAAGGTCCCTTGCTCGCGCAACTCTATTTTTCCACGTGGGATGCTACACTCCGCGCCGTCTTCCTTCACCCCGATCATCTACGGCATGACCTGGTCCCACGGAATAGCACGCCTTGCAGCACCTCTTTTTAAAAGAGGCTCAAATTCCAGCCGTGAGGGATTGTCTGCTATGTTGCAAGCAGTCGGTACGCGAGCGAACCACGTCTTCAGCTGCAACGTGGTTTCAAGCTGAAGGAAAGATTCAATCACAGAGTTGGCGAGTGAGCTACCGCCAAAGGTTCGGATCAGAGAATGGCGAGCACCATCATTGTCAAGATAGAACACTACTTGAGCTCCTTTCAAGCGATCGGCCCAAATGATAAGGCTGATCAGTGCTGGAATCAACTCAAGCTCGAAAATGGGATTCGCACTGATGCTCAAAAGCTGCTGCATCAAATCGCTTGGAACTGCCTCACCGAAGAACTCGCACGGAGTACCAGAGGCATTCACAAGGACGCCTCCGACACCTCCCGTGCCTTCCTCTGGATTGCAAGCCCCGTCAGTGAAAACGATCAGCGTTGTGATGAGGTTTCGCTCGACAACTAAAGGCTGGCTCATGGCTATTCTTTCACGAAGCCACGTCAACGCCCACATCAAATCTTCAGTAAGATTCTGAGGGGCAGACTTTTCCACGCACTTTGCAACAACTCGCTGAGCCCGATTAGAAACCCTTCCAAAGGTGAAACCCTCGAAGAAAACCATACGACCCCTAAGGCGTTCGGCAGCCTTCGAGTCGATCTTTCCTTCCTGAAGGATGGTTTGGATGTACTCGGTGAGCTCTTCCTTTCGCTTCTGAGTATGACCCACACGAAGAATCCGCTGCGTCACACAAGACAGATCAACAGAGAGGCCGAGCATGTTGAAGGTAACTCCGAAGGGTTCGGCTTTGGACCCGTCCTTGGCGAAGCGGAAACCAAGCAGGTCAAACAAAGTTTCCACAGTCCACTGGGCGTTCGATTCCAGGCTCTTCGCAGAAACTATGCTGTAGTCATCGAAAAAGGCAGACCAGAATAGCCTGAAAAGGACTATTCCGATCTTCCACAAGGCGATACTTATCCTTAGGAAAGCAGCGACCGACCCCACCCCTCCGAAGGGGAGGGCGTTTACGCCCAGGAAGCTCGGCTTGTGGTGGCCTGGCCTGTTGACAGCAATGCGTAGCCTTTCACGGTCAGCAGCACACACACCAAATTGCTTGTACGCTGCCGTAAGGTCGAAAGTTCGGCCGCAGCACTCAGGCATAACACCGGACACGACATCAAAAGCATGAGCCATCATGGCCGCAAGCTTATCTATCGTATGCAAGCAAAACTTTTCCAGCAAGCCCACTGTCGCGTTTAGGCCGCAACAAGAAAGGTCATCGATGACCCTCAATTTGTTCTGCATGATTCCGAAGCGCATAGCAATCGAGACCATCTCAGGAACCGGCCCTTCCTCAAGCCACACCCAACCTGCGTCAATCTCCTTTTGGGTTTCAACCCAGGTGGATTCTTCAATTTCGGAATCCTGCCTCCTGGACAGCTTTTGCAAGGTTGCTTTGTTCAAGCCCTTCGACAAAACTCCCAACGTCTCGACACTGAATTTGGGCCTTCTGGACCTCGGCACAAACTCACCCGACGCAGGAAGCCAGCCCGACAACTTGAAACCTTTGCATATATCAGAAACAAGGTCAACATCCTCACACCCTGCTGCCCTCATCATCTCTTGGAGAAGCAAGAGCTTTTTTCCTTTAAGTATGGGCCGCAGGTGATCAGGGAGATTTCGGTGAAGTTCCTGCTCCTTTTCCTTGAGGGCACCTGCACGACCAATCCAAAACTTCATTGCATCAATCCTGAAGGCCGCAAGTTCTGCCGGGGGAGCCTCAAAGTTAGCACGTGCACTAACTGTGACGAAAGGCTCAACATGGACTGCCAAGGACCGTGGGTGTCCTGCCGCAATAGCTCTCTCAACAAAGACATCTTCAGAGCACGGTACACCGACTTGCACAAGCTCTGCACAAGCAGGCGGATGCAAAGGGTCCAAGCCCACGATGTTTGTTTTTAGCTTGCCAACTCCTTCGAGGAGACTCTTCAGCGAACCCCACTCACACACACGTCTCGAGAAGATTCTGGAGCCCTTTGGAAGGGAAGAAAGCACAGCTTCCAACGGCTTGTCATTTTGCACTGGCACAACAAAATCCAACGTAGTGTCAAACTCCCACACAAGCGAAGGCAAGGAGTTTCCCCTGGGTTGAGTGCCCAGATTTATCCTGGCGACATTCGCAGAAGGATCCTGTATTGCCTGCGCAAGCACACGTGGCCCGAAGGACAAGCTGGGATGCGCATGGACGATGCAACCAAGGATACGATCGACGAGGAGCGGTGGAAATTCGGGTTCATCTGCTGTGATGAAGCTCACCCGCTTCCTTTTCGAAATGAAAGGTTGCCACGGTTTGTGCTCGTGCGACCCGTCACAGCGACCCGCAAGCATGCCAAAAACGTCCTGTGACGACCAAAGCTGCATCAACTTGGGTCTGTGACCTCCATGCACACAGGCATGGAATTTTACAAAGTGACCCTGCACATGATTTGTCACCTTAGCACAGAAGGAGGTGTCCCAATAACGGCTGTTAGAAGGACTCTCCAGGACTGTCATGATTCCAAGATCACAAGCCTCACATGCAATGTTTGCAAGCTGATCAAAAAGTTGATTTGCACGCTCAACCTGGAGTTTATCACGACCACGCAAAGTCGGCAAGCCATCCGGATGCAACGCCGACCTCAAAGCATTTGGCATCTTCAAATCAAGTTCAGCAGAACCCGGCTTATGCCGTTCACGCTTGAAAGATGCGGTGCCCACCGGAGGTGAGATGAAAACACAGATGACGTGATGATACTCAACTCGCAAGAAATCGACAACTGCTTCAGCCTGGGCTGGATCACTCAAATCCATGATGACAACTTGTTCACCAGCCCGCCTTCTAGAGGAATCAACTGCAAAAGGCCGGAAGCCTAACTTTGCAGCTGCCTTACTAAGAACAGCTGTCCCAGCACACAACTCAACGAAGTACATTCCCGCCGCCGACTGCTGGACACTGCTGGCATCACGCTGCGACGGCCTAACAGGGGAGAGGCACCTAGGGTCCCAGGAAACCACAAAAGGGCCTAAACCCAAAGGAGACACAGAAAACCCGAGCCGCTCAGCGACAGCTCGTAATTCAGGCCGGAGCTCCTCGCACTGACGCACCGAATAAGCAAGCATGACAACTCTGCGACCTTCCCACGGCCTAGTCTCATGAAAATCTTTAGGCTTCGAGAAAAAGGTGGGGCCGGCGGCCACATCAAGCAGGCATCCCTCCAAAGAAGGGTCATTCAACGAAGCGACATCACCTCCAACCTTCTGAAACCAAAGTTCACCGTTCTCAAAGTCCGTCAAAGGCACCAACAATGTAGGGCCATCACGATTGTTCTCGTCGCGGTGCAATCCTGAGGCAAGATTTTCATGGATTGCAAGTGAAGAGTAACTGAATGCAGGGCACACCCGACTCACAAGCAGGTTGAAAACCTTGATAGAAAACGGGAACATGTCAATAGTCCTATGCAAACCCAAAATACCGCCACGCCGGTAGACGCCCATGCTGAATCGAGCTCCACCCGATCCCTGAGATGCCCTAGGAGGATTTTGCGCCTCCTGAGGCAAAAGCTCCAAAAGATCCAGAGCTGCACTGGCTGTCAAGCACGACGGCTGCCGCAAGAGAAACTTCGCAAGAGCTTCAGGATCAGTGAACTGCGGCCTATTTGGGCGAGGACTAGAACCAAATTTAGGGGTATCAGGTGACACTGCCATTGGCACTTCCAGCTGACCGCTGGGCTTGGGTGAAATTTGCGCCTGGCCTTCACAAGGAGATTTCCTCGGCTCGACCTGCGACTTCATCGAGGCAAGAGCCCTCGCCTTCAACGCTTGCAACTTCTCTTGAAGAAGTGTCTTATCATTCAAGATTGACCCTTCCGCCGGTCCCCGCACCTGCTCAAGAGCACGGTACACCAACGGCCTAGTCTGCTCTCCAGCGGCTGCTGCACCAAAAGTGCAGTCCTCACTGTGAGAAGAATCATGCAACACAACGGACGACAATGACTCAGATAGTCACTCTTGCGCCTTGGCTTTGCACGACACTGCTGAATGCCCCGGCCTATGACACTTCGCACAGATGTGAAGGCCGCGGACACACTTAAGCCCTCCCTTGCACTTCTCAGTCTTAAGAGAGCAGCCTGAGGCAAGATTGAAATCCCAACAAACATTTCCATCTTCTGTCCTGCAAGAGTACTGCTTCAACTCTTCTGGCACAGTCCTACGGATGCGCGCCTTCACCTTCGCCTTTGCTTTTGCCTTGGCCTTCCCTTTCGGGACGGGCTGGGAGGAACTCCCCGCCCCATCATCCACAGGCACTGCCAAGACAGGAGCTGTCTGCTTCGGAAGCGGCAACAGGAACTGCTGAAGACGGACATCATACATCATTGCTGAAAATTTTGCATCAAGCGGCGAAACCCCGAGCGAGTCCACCTTGAAAGGAGGCACAGCCTCCCTGGCCAATAGCAGAAAAAGCTCCTTATCCGCACGCATGCATTGATTCAAACTGACTGGGCTATAACTCGGTGGCGGGGTTGCTGAAAGGCAATCCAGCATCTTCTGAACCCACCTCTGATGCACATCCCAGGACAGCAGGTGACAGTTGTCAAAAGCTATGCCTCTTCGCATCATGGCCCACTGAAAACGCAGAGGATCCGAAACATCACAAGCGATAGCCTGGTCACCAGGCCCCACCTTTATGACGTTTTGTTCCACCTGCAACAAAGAGCTCCTATCCTTGCCCAATGCAAGGACCTCAGCTTCCCTCTTGGCACATTTCGACGCAGGGATCCAAGTAAGAACTCCGGACTCGTATTGCTGATTTGCTATGTCAAGAAGCTGATGCGAAGGCTCAAGCTCTCCAGAAATTTCCATTCCTGAAAGTCGCCGCCTCTGGAATTCCAGCCTGGCCCGTTTTTCAGGAACCGGAACCTTCCTGGTGTGCGATGGATCAGACGGGTCGTTGGTGACCATGTCCCTGTAAGTCTGAACCACTAGAGTCGTGGCCTCGAAGTGCAGATGCCGCAAGATTGCGGTTTGCCCCATGGTAGGAGCAACTCCGTACACCTTCACACTGAATTCGTCAAACTGAGCCTCCGTAGGCGGCTGCTGAGGCGACCCTATCGCGAAAGCCAATGTCTTGAAGCACCTGATGCCTTGTGCCTCCAACTTGGTATGCAGAGTCGCATCCTTTCCTTCGAAGCTTCAGCACATCTCTGCTTAAAGGCAGCCTCGCTTTCGATCACGGTCGACATGTTCGGAACCTACGCACCCTAGCAGCACAAACCTACAACGTGAGAAAACGCACTCAAACACCATGCAAATCTCTCACATGTTTACTGTTTACATGTAACAATCTGCCATGGATCACATCTCGGGCCTCCGCGAGCGAACAAATCAAAGCCTACTCCACGGAGTGCGCACATGCGAGCAGAAAACATGCAACTGAAGACTCGCAAACAGGGCTCACACTCGGTTATTAGCCGCCTCGCTCAAACGTTCTTGTTGCAGATCCTACACTTGCTGAAGTCCCACCGGAGGTCCTCTGCCCGTATCTTGACATGCAGAGATCCTATGGCCCTTCCGCAGGCAAAAACCTTAGTGTAGCCGGTAGGGGCAAAATGCACCACTCTCGACTTCTCGTGCCTCCACACATCATGACCCTCGGGAACATTCACTACCAGCTTCGAGAACGGTCCCTCGGCCTCCTCCGGGCAAGAGTCGCTGGAGGAAGAGTCCGTAGTGATATGCCCGGTGGCCTCAGCGTCGAGGGCTTCCTCATCGCCTGCAAGGTTATGAGCAGCATCAGCCCCTTCGCTAGGAGAGGGCGGGTCATGTTCCTCCTTTATCACAACTACCTCTGTCCGCTGCTGCGAGTCAGCGGCTTTGCCCACCAAGCGCCCGCTACGAGTCTCATCTGGAAGAAAAACTCGATCCCTTATCTCCTTGATCATCCGCTCCAAGATCATCAAAGGATGAGCTGCAGAATCACGGGAGTATGTCAGGGCCATGCGGTGCGGCGTCGTGTGATATCCCAACAGCTGCCTGTCGACTATGCTGATTCCCCTCTTTGCCGCATAGCTCAACATGGTACACTTGCAGCTGTGCGATGATAGCTTTCTGTCAGCTTGCTTCGATCCCGAACCCGTTAGCAGATGTCTCAGCCACCTGCCCATCTCCTCAGTGTCCAGCGGCCTGACACTAGCAGCACCAGACTTATCCGGCGCCGGCATGACAGGAAATTCTGGAGGATCTGGAATGTTGAGTTCCTCTCTAGCAAGTTTCCACAGCCTCGCCCAGTTGGAACCCGCAACTCCCAGGCCAGGAGCCACCATAGGAAGCAGATCATGCCGCATAACTCGGCTCCTCATATTCTTATGGTATGCCACGGGGCACTCCACATAGGCAAGATTTTTCTGGTTGTCATAATCATAAATAATTCCCTCTGCATGCATCAGGTCTGACCATCTTGACCGCGAATATACACACAGCAAAACTGCTCCAGCGAAAACGCGGTCCCACGGGTCCTGTGCGTTCTCCAGCCGGTCGTGCAGAAGGGAGAGCTCATCTACCGTTAGCGGCGAAGCCCTGTTCCTCGGCCTCACCTCGCCACGGCACGCATTGCCAAGGCAACGCCTGCTCTTGACACATAGGTCCAGCTCCTCTACCCCCAGGACGTATCTGCAGAAAACCACTGCTTCATACGTAGCCTTTCGCGAAGATAAGCTGGCACCCCCATCCCTTTCAAGACAGAGGAACATGTAAAGTAAAATCTCGTTTGCAGGGAAAACCAGCTTCTTCTGACGAAGGAAAGCTTCATACTTCAAGAGACTCCTTAACCTCTTGCGAAGTGTTCCCGGGGCCTTTGCACCCAGCACATCGTAAGTCATGGCCTTCCTTTCATCGTCAGTGGGAAGTTCACAAAGCTGATCCCGCACCTGCACACCTTCAGACCATCTGCCAATGAAAACAGCCCAAGCACAGACCGCTTCCAAAAGCTGTTCCTCGCGCTGCTGCTTCCATGATGCAACCACTCTGTTGACAACGGCCATCTCGAAAATTCTAGTGACGACCCTTCCCGCCCTCTGCGGGTTCTTCGAAGGTTGCTCCAAGACGCCTTCTGGGACGCCAGGCTGCAGAGGCCTCTTGAGGCCAGTTCCATAAAACCCACGGAAGGAATCCTCTGACTGAGGAGTAAAAATACTTCCCCAGAAATCATTCTCCCAGACTTGCTTTACTTGAGGAACATCCAAAGTTTGGAAAGCTGCCGCCATCGACCTGTCCAGATTTCTAGCAGAAGCAGCAGAAGAGCCTGCCGCCGCAGACGACAAGCCCAAACCATGAGCTTCAGCCGGAAGGCCCACTGAATCCTCTGAAGGCAGAGCAGCACCATCTTCCGACAAATCAACTTTATACCAGTCTCGTTCCGCAGCGGAATTCCCACAGGACCAAACATCTTCCTCGAAAACATCTAAGTTCGCAGAAAAAGCCCCATCAACTGAGTTTATCTCCAGATGCTCCCCGTGTGCCACACCTGCGGCCTGAGAGGCATCCTCAAGGAGATCGCAAGGCAAAGCATTTTCACCAAGCTGCCCCGAAGACCTTCCATCCACCCCTTTCCAAAAGAATGTCAAGGGCAGACCATCTTCGGCATCGGAAGGCTCGGCTTCCGACTGCATCAGCGGAGACCGAAGTAGCGAAGCCGAAGGCGACGCGCGTCGGCAGCCGCAAAATCGGAAGTAGCCAGCAAAATGACTCGGACAGCTCTGTTGACGCAGAAAAGCTCGTAAGAAAAGTCTAGGCCCAGAAAACGCAGCAGCAAGCTATTCGTACGCGAAGCGCCCAGAAAATTGACAAGGTCCAACGCACGAATCTCACTGCGCCAGCCCCTGACCTCCTCTTCCTCCTCGAGAAACAAGAGAAGAAGGCGCCGATGTGGCACCGGAGGCAGCTCGCGACGGCGCGCGGCCATCCCTAGCCCTACAAGTTTTCCCCGTGCCCACACTTGAGAGGAAAGTCGCCGGAGCCACACTTCATCTCACTGCCCGGAAAACTTGCAAACGTGATTCCTAATTTCAGTTTAAAACAAACATGAAATTTGTGGAAAACTGAATAAGGAGTTCATCCTTTCTGCTTCGGGAAGTTTAAAGGAGTAAACTCAAGAAAGCAATAAAGAGCTGTAAAAAAATGATACGGGAAAAAGACTATGCAGACAATGGTGAAACGGGCTGCGACTTGCAGACTACGCCGGCAGTGATCGTTCAGCCGCTCAGCCCTGGTTAAGCCTCAACCGCTAAAGCCGCTCAGATGCCCCGCTTTCCAGAAAGACTGGGTAGCGCAATGGCGTACATACGCATGTGAAGGCCAACTTGCCAGGAACGTTGGAGCAAAATTTGCTTTCCATGGCAGGGCAAGGGCAATGATCTGGAGCCGAGAATCGAAAGACGGGCAAAGCAGCCAAATCTCAAGAGGCTGCAAGCCGCACCGGCACTGGCAAGTGCAGCAAACACAAATAGATCGCCCTGAAACGTCTGACCAGCAAGGCAACAGCACCACACCAGGGTGGGTCGCAAGGGCATACAAGGCAGTGATCTTTGGCAAGTGTTCTGATGCATAATCTAGTAGGTCCTCTTCCGTGCGGGCATGCGCCCCGTTAAGCCGTCTGGCAGGATGGATGTTCTATATCAGAAAGTCCTCATTGCAATATGGCAGCGACGCGGGTCCCGCATGGGCAGCGCCAAAAGAACGCTGCGCACTTCCCGTGTTGCAGAGTCGGGCCGTATCGGTTATTCAGCCACACTGGCATGGCATGTGCAAGATGACCAGCTCCCCAAGAGTGAGTACCGCGGGGGCGGAGACAGGAAGACAGAGGTGCCCCGCGTAAGAACTCCAGGGAGAGGGAAATTCCAGAACCGCAAACCAGCCCTGCCCAGCTTTCCACCTGGGCGGGTTTCGCAACGGCAAGGGCCAAGCAGATTCTGAAGCACCCAAATCGAACGAGTTGCAAACCTAGAGCGGCGGCTGCAGTCGCGCAAGCGGAAGATCGCCAACAGTTCCATGGAGAAGTACGATCTCCAAATGCCCAAAAGGCAAGTTGATTTTCCGAACCATCGAAGCGTTGCGAAGTTCAAAGTTCACATTCTCACAAGCCAAACACCTTCTGCTTCACTGTACCAGCAGCGCTCCAGTCTGATTTGCTGAAACGTTGCATGAAGAAAAAATTTACAGCAACCACAGCGTCAGCTTCTCCGTGCCCACTCCCTGTCAGAAGATGTGTTCTTTGGTTCTTAGCTTTCTTGCAGTTTTTGCTGGGACCGAGTGGAGGCTGGTCCCCTCCCCTCCGGAGTTTAACAAGGTTTGAACCTGGAAAACCTTAGGTGTAGTTGTGAACGGTAGGAGTAGGGAAAAAGTTGTCTGTCTGTCGGTCGCTGCGCTCACGCTTCGTGTCTCACCTTGCGGTGAAAGTGATCATTACCAGAAGCGTGTCCAACCGGAGTTTTCCTCACGAGTTTTCACGAAGAACGGTGTTTCCCTGAAGCATGATGAACACCAGAGTGTTTTCAGTTTGTTTGCTGTGAGAACGGACTTCTAGACGAAGTCCGGGGAGCACCTGGGCCATAGAACAGAGTTACCAGTGCAGAGAAGCCGTTAGGAGTCCTTAGGACTTACCGCGGAAGTGAGTGTGCTGAAGTCTCTGTCTGCGCCCCGTTTCACTTTGGCTCAAGACCTGCACTGCGTGACAAGCGCGTGGTGAACAGTTGGACAGTTGGTTGCGACGAAAGGTGTAAAAGTGCTGTTAGCTTCCACTGCTGTAGCCTTGCGTGACGTAGTCAGTCAGTCGGCTTGCACCTCCTTTTACTAAAGCTAGAAGTGTGCCTCAAGGCGCGTTTGGGTTTTAACGTGGTAGCGGAGCTCAAGGTTGCTCCTCAGAGCCATGGACCCACGAGCCGAGCCTAGCCGCGACCGTTCCCCAAGAGGACGGAGTTCAGGGCGAAGTGCTAGTTGTGCCAGTGGAGTTTCTTCTGGTTTTCCCTCAACCCCTCGAGAGTTGAGTGCACCTGGCTCGCGGACTCGTGGAAGGTCCCTCCCTGCTCGGAACAGTCCGACAGCACACCGGCCTGTGAGTAGACCCAGACCTCTTGTGAGTGCAGGTCAAGTGCCTCAGGTGCCTTTTCCACAGGTGCCTCAACAGGTTCCGTTGCAGCAGGGTTTTCAGCAGCAGCAGCAGCCTCAGTTTGGAACGCAACCGACTTTCCCTCACGGAGGAGGGAATCCTCAGCAGGCATCTGTGCCTAGTCCAGAAGACAACACTGTCAACCTTTTCAGGCAGATGTTGCAAGCCCAGGATGAACAGATCCGAGCTCAGCAGGGCCAGATTTCGCAGCTCACCGAGATGGTGAAGACGCTCGCCGTTGCGAGTGCAAACGCTGCAAGTTCGGCCGCAAGTGCAGCTCCTGTTGCTGCAAGTTCGTCCCAAGGGACGCCCGCTGAAGCTCTTGGAAGCCTGGGTGCCATCAGAGTTGACTCTGATGGTGTTGTGAAGATGGATGTGGACACAGGCTTGCGCAGCAACAGGGCGGAAAACTACATTCCGTCCCTGCCAAAGTTGGCAGCAGACAAGATGAGATCGCGCCATGAGGAAATCTCCACGTGGACCGCTTACCGCGAAGAACTGACCTCCTGGCTGTGTCTTTTAGACGACCGCTACGCGGAGGAACTGCAAGAGGCTGTGGAGAGCGGTGTTCAGGTTCAGCAGATCAGCCTCTCAAAGGGGAAGGCCGCTCGTTCCACTAAGCTGTGGTACCTCTTGAAGCAGGCTCTCGCTGGTTTTCAGCGAGGAGTTGACATAGCCAAGCTTGTCGAGTTGAGTCAAGGCGGTGCCGCTGCAGGGTACGACCTCTGGCGTGAGTTGAACAAAGAACTGTCTGTTAGGTCTCGTGTGGAGGGACAGGCGCTCAGAGAGCAGGCTCTCTTGATCGCGCCACCAAAGCACTTGAGACGGCCATTGGATATTTTTCGCCATATGATTTCTGATTTTGCTCGCTACCGCACGCTCGTTGCCAACAAGTACCCAGACCTTGAACTGCAGCAGGCTGATGTTATCAGCTGCATCTTGAAGCACCTTCATGATGATTGCAAGAAGTACCTTTTGTTGCATGGGTCTTTGACAACGTTGGAGCACCTTGAGCGCGGTTTGGTTTTCTATGATGAGCAGCTTCGTGTTTTGAACTTTCACAAGGAAGCCTCGAACGCCAAGGGCTTTGCAGCTTTTGGTGGTGACCGTTCTGAAAAGGGTGAGCCCAAGGGTGGCGAGCCCAAAGGAAAAGATCATGGAAAAGGCCAAGGCAAGCATGGTGATAAAGGCAAAGGCAAAGACAAAGGAGGAAAGGGAAAGGACAAAGGCAAAGGTGGCAAGAAGGGCGGAAGGCCACGATCTGCAACGCCGGCTCCTGGAAAGAAGAAGCCGGGCACTTGCAATTACTGCCACAAGCCGGGCCATTGGGCCAACGAGTGCAGGAAGAGGATTGCCGATGAGAAGGCTGCTGCGACCGCAGCGGCGGCAACAGAGAGTGCCGCTCCCAAGGTGGCCCCTCCTGCACCTTCCTCGACTGCGGCGCCAGCTCCCACTGCTCCAAAGGGTGCCGGGAAGATTGGCAAAGCGGCCCTCCTTATGTCGTCACTGTTGCCCGCGGCAGGGCAGATTTCTGAAGCAATGCCTGAGAGGGGACAGTTTTTCACCATGACTGCCTTGATTTTCACGTTTTTCATGTTTTGCATGGTAGGATGCTTGATTTGTCGGTTGGTTGCATGCTTGAGTAGCCCACGGCAGTCATGTTTCACGTATGCTTGCGTAGCCGTAGCAGTGATTGCTTTGAGCCTTGCTTCCGCGCCGCAGCCTCAGCTTCGGGATCGGTCTTCAGAGTGCCTTGCTTTTCCAACTTTGGCACTTCCTGCAGTCACTAGGGACGACCCCTCGTATCTCTTGATTGATAGCGGTGGGAGTGTTCACCTTGTTTCGCAAGACATGCTTGGAGTGACTGCGAAGCTGATCCGAGAGCTTGAGGTTGAACCTCTCTTTGTAAGTGTCGCCAACGACCAGACTATGGAGATAACTAGGTATGGGTTGCTAGAGCTTTGGTTCCCTTGTTTCGAAGCGGGGCCCTCTGGAACCCAAACTTACAGAGAGATTCGAGTGCAGCTGGAAGCGTATATTGCTCCCAATTCGATAAGCATCCTTAGCTCAGGCATCTTGCAGTCCTTAGGCTTTAGGATCTTTCATTATGACTATGATCCGCAGTTACACGTAGCCTATCCTCCGGGTGGTTTGCGCTTTGAGACAGAATTGTACGCCAACACGTCGTGGTTGAAAGCTTGCACCTATGTAGAGCCAGATCCTTCTATGCTTGTTTTGCAAAGTGAAGAGAAGGGAAGCGTAGGCAGTGCAGTTTCGTCGGTTGCCTCGTCTCACCCCTTAGGAGAAGTAGGATCTAGGAGTGTAGGTAGCTTGTGCGTCGGTCGGTCGGTTGCGTCTTCTCACCTTTTAGGTCCCGGCAGTGAATACCCCGAAGCCCAAAGCCGCTCATGCTCGGAAGGCCAAATAGGGTGTGTAAGGCGTGATGTCTGGTTCGAATCCGGACCAAGAGATGGAGGACCAGGACATGGAGAACTCGACCTTCCG